TTTCATTCTTTTTTGCAAAATGTGCAGAAAAGTCGATAAATATTAGCAATACATTAGCATCTGAATCGTAAAGATTTCACTAATACATTTTCCGTTCCTAAATAATTCGTGAACTGCGCCTTATTTCTGACATATTAGCATCTGAATCGTACGACACAAACAATACAAACATACATACCCCACAACGACTTTTTCCATAGGCACTAACGTAACGCCTGTGCCACGTAATCACATAGTTGCTGCCACGGCATGTCCTCTTCGGCCATTGCATCGAGCTCGGCGGCAATCTCGTCTTCTTCATCTGGTTGATCTATCTCTACCTCGTCGTCATCTTCTTCTTCGGCTCTACGAAAACCCTCATCGAGCCGACAATTTTTCCTTAAGAAGTTATGTATACCCATTGTGGCCACGACCACAGCTGTTTGCCGTCTCATATTGTAAGCAGGCATTCGATCAACTATCTTCCACCTCTGTTTCCAAACATCGAAGGCACACTCAATAATGTTACGGTATGAGGAGTGATGAAAATTAAACCGTTCCCGTGCATTTCTAAACCTACGGCGTTGCCCATCCATTGCACGGCCGAACTCTTGAAAATGGTATCTAATATCAGAGCCCTTATATGGAGCCATATAACCAGGCCTATATGCGAAACCTGAGTCAACCAGGTAATATTTCTCATTCACGGGTTGTGGAAAATTGATTTTCGGACTATGTATAGCAACCTGAGGCAACTAGGTAATATTTTCCATTCGCGGGTTTTGAAAAATTGATTTTCGAACTATGTACAACTAGGGTCAATATGCGACTGTCGTGGGTGTTCCCTGTGGTTCCCGGCAGCACGAACGTAAAGTAAAGGTTGAAATCACATGCGGCCAGTACATTTTGTGTTGGTATTCCCTTCCTCCTAATGTAATTCTCTCTTTTATGTCGTGAAAACACAGCCCTCACATGTGTGCCGTCAATTGCACCTATGCGATCCTGTGTCCATTGTCGACAAAATTAAACACAATATACTTGCTAACCACTATGAATGTTTAATAAGCTAGTTATGTAGGATCATGCACCTGGAATATGGGATACCATTCCACAGGTGGATGATGGTGAGCTATGCCTTCGTTGTACCTCGGATCTGGTTTAATCATGTCCGCTGCGAAAGCTACGCATGCACGCAGTGTTTTCTTGAAATAATAACAGATGGTCTGCAACGAATGATTGAAAAGCATTTGAACTTGACGATAACCTTTGCCATGTGCTAGTATACACAAAAACATTCCCACTTGTTCATGTCAATGTTTGTGTTGTTGGAAAGATTGTACTGATCACGGAGGATGTGCGTGAAATACATAAACATCGGAGGATACATCCTAAATTCCTGAAAACACGTTTGAGGGTAAACATGCATATTTTGTAGCATAAAAATGTGGCCACATCGCGATGTTGGGAATACATATCGACGTACTCCATTTGGTGCTAAGTAATCCCGAACAATGCGCTCGGCAATTCTACAATGCTTGAGCCACATGTTTATGTCATCCTTCAGCTGCTGCATAAAATCTTCGTCTGAACTCGATGACGAATCAGATATCGAGTCAATGTTGCAATCTGTTTCAGAAGATGAGTGCTCGTCGAAATAGTCCGACATGTCTTAAAAAAATACGTGGTGTAGCGCACTAAAATGTTGCTGAAATTTTTGTTTCTGTCTCCAACTTGTGGAAACCAAACACAATTGGAGGATTGAAGAGTGTTTGATAGGGTTGCACTAATTGTAGACTGCCATGACATGCGTATTTATAAGAACAAGGGAAAGTGATTTCATGATGGAAATAAGTTGCAGTGTCCGTGACATGCGTATATATTATTGGTCCATGGAAATAATCCTGTGATTGGTACATCACAAGGAATATATTCTCATAGAAATTTGCATGTGATAGAAATCGATTTGCAGGGAATATAGGTTGCAGTGTCCTTCACAGGGAATATATTCTAATTTCTTTGTAGGTGATTAAAATCAATTTGCAGGGAATATATTCCCTGCAATATCAACAAATCACATATTCATTTCCATTTTCATTTCCTTTTGTAATTACTTATTACTTAGCCACTTGTGATGATAGTTTAGTCAAATAATACTGCCTTCAATTCGTTATGCAAGGGTGAAATCGTCATTAACATCACAAATATATTACAACCCCATAAAACAAGTACGAGAAATGAAAAACCACATAAATGTCTAGTACTAATTAAAAAGAAGACGAATAAAGGAAAAAAATGGCAACGCTAATCATCACAACAACCTGACTGCTCACACGTTACGTGGTAGCGACAGCTTATCCCTCTCGAAGCATTACTCAAAGAACTTAAAATGCAAGTATGGTGTCTCGGCAGCGGGGTAAGATTTTCGATTGTCTTTTTCCCTTAAGAACCACAGTGCGAGGAGGTGGACCTCGTCACCTTTCTATACATGCCCAGAAGATAGTAGTTCCTTGACGCAATTGCCGACTGACATTACATCCTTCTGATATGATCTTGCGATGGAGGCAAGATCAGTTCCAACACTGACCATTTGCTCAAGAGACGCTGAAACCTCACGAGCACCGTACAATTTCTTCTTCCTTCTTCGTTTCCTGTATTTGCATTTCCTTTTTTCCCCACTCTGCGAGGATGTTCTACCTTCGTCTGGACTTGAACTAGAATCAGTCCCCTCCGCGTTGATGGGCACTGCGTCGCCTCTGTACTCTTGTCGCTATCTGTGCTGAAATTTCCAAAAACTACAAAAATGTTCTAATTTTGTATTTGCAGCCATTCTTAGTGCATGAAAAAATTTGAATGATAAACATGCTTGCAAGTAAATTACTAGAGAATGGATAACTAATATGTCAAAAATAAGGCGCAATTCATGAATTACTAGAGAATGATAAATATGCTTGCAAGTAAATTACTAGAGAATGATAAACATACTTGCAAGTAAATTCACTTCTGTTTAGAATATAGAACAACCCATCAAAGACCCTGCACAGTTTAGCAAAGGACCCGTACAATGGATAACTAACTTGCACGTCTGTCAATAATTGAATGAAAGCAATGAACTTATTCATTTAGCCATATTCTAGTGTAGCATAACAGCACTAAATTCCCGGTCCAAATAATTTTGGTTAGTGACTAATAATTTGTTAAACTAGATAAGGGCCTACAACAAGCGTGGCACTAGAAACACAAGGATGGCAGTATGTATGAATCAAGTTTGACGAGGACTCATGGAATTGAAAAGATGACAGACGTTCATGTTTAATATATGTAAAAATCTGTATGACAAATTCCCAATCAGTTCCATCTCGAACTACAGCAGGCGAAAATGAATAAAAAAAGATGACAGACCTTAATTTTTGCTTCCCACCAATGGTCCGGGGCGTGAATTCTTCCAGATCCTGAGCGGTACTCAATTCCGATGCATCGCAGTAACTCGAACAGGTGTTTGTACTCTGTTCAGATTTTGCTCCAATAGTTCTTCATTTGGGATGTAGTCCAACTCTTTCCCGTTGAGGCGTTGAACAGGTCTGCGATTCGAGCCCAGCCGTTCGGGGAAAAGCATTTGCCGCGTCGATGGCCTTTGGCGATGACAAGTTCACAGGTCTCAATAAAGACTTTGTGCTCTGTTGGGTTCCATCGTGCCGACTTCTTTACCATTGGCTGAGGCGAACGACAGCTGGAAGACGTATGAGGCAACGGGTCTCTGCCTCCGACTGGGTAACGCTGTAATTGAAAAAATGGGATATTCAATGACACGACTGTTGGACGGAAGACTAGCGTAAAGCAAAAAAAAAAGGATTCTTCCATTGATATTCGAAGAACGGGATGCAATTGAAAAAATGGAGCTCTCATATTGCGAAGATGGAATATCTTACCGTATCGTCCGGGTAACACGTCCACTGGGACCCGTCGTTGTCCATGGAAGGCTATTACTGTTCGAAGATAGAATCGGGCCAGTGGAGAGTCGGGTGCTGGTTTGAAATTGGAGTTTTTATTTGGCGCCCAGAAAGATGCTTGTTGTTGGTCGGATCATGGCAAGGTGATTTTGTCCCAAATCAGTGGATTGCACCGGTGATTTTTTCTCAGCTGCGACGGCGGAGTGGGTGTCGGTGGTGCCTTTATCGTGTAGGGTAAAGATATGAGGGGTGTTGTGTACATTTGGTGATTTGCAAGACAAGTTGAGGGCAAAATGGGAAGTCTAATGCAACAGTCATTTTAGGGCAAATCTGAGCTCTGACACAACATATTCATTGTTCTCGTCTTTTCCTCTCAGCCTACTGTAGGAAAATGAATTTTAAACCAAAAAATGAGATTCAAACAGGGGCTAAATAATTTCTTTATCTTGTAAATGAAACGTCGACAATTCATTTCCAAAAGAAGGATTATGACTAATAAGCCCCTGTTTGTCTATCATTATTCAAAAAAATTGTTTGTTACAGTAAGATTTTCAACCACACATTCACCCAATAAAATATTTTACACACAAACCAATAAAGTTACTTTACTTTTCAACCACATATTCTCCAAAAAATACTATTCATGACTCTATTTTTCTCCCAATAATGGGAGACAAGCACACTTGATAAAATATCCACAAAGAAAAATAATATAGCAACGTCGGCTCAGGTTGTTTCATCCATTGATGATCTTTTAACTGAAATCTTGTTACGTCTACCAATAAAATCACTCATTCGCTTCAAATTAGTATCTAAACACTGGCACTCTTTGACCACAAATCCGAAATTCTGCCATTTACACAATCCGAACCCCGATCCCGCCTTAGGCCTTTTATTGCCATGCACTAACTTCCGTGTTAGCCTCATCACTCGTGCGCTTCAAATTAGTATCTAAACACTGGCACTCTTTGATCACAAATCCGATATTCTGCCATTTACATAATCCGAACCCCAATCCTGCCTTAGGCCTTTTATTGCCATGCACTAACTTCCGTGTTAGTCTCTTGTTTGAATATGTCCCCTTCTCTGTCCAGAATCCAACCAATCCACCTTTTCGAAAGCTCGAGTTTACTAAAGACCCTTCTGGCATTAGTATTGTGCAGTCTTGCAATGGACTCTTACTATGTAGTAGCTTTCGAGCTCGTGACCATAATCTCAAGTACTTACTATGTCTACAATCCCACAACAAAACGCTTCACTACACTTCCAAAACCAGATCAAGGAACCGGGATCAGAAAGAAAATATGTGGTATGAGCTTAGCTTTTGATCCTCCCAAGTCTCCCCACTACAAAGTTGTTTGCGTTCAACGCTTAGAATTAGATCAAGAAGAGAGTAAATATCAGATTGAAGTTTATTCATCTGAAACTGGTCCTTGGAAAGTATCCAGCCAGCCTTTCACAGATGAAACCAATTTTGAAAAAGGAGTATATTGGAACGGTTCGATCCACTGGATTGGTAATGGGACATTTGAGTCTTTATATTTCATCATTGATGAGGAAAGACTGGAAACAATGCCAATGCCGCCTATCCCAGATGGTTGGGAGGGAAGAAGCAACTACTATATTGGGGAGTCTTGTGGTCATCTAAATTTTATTGAGACATTTGGTCCACAAATTCAGTTCAATGTCTATGAAATGAAGAGGAACAATTCTGAGTGGTTTGTGAAGTACAGGGTTGATCTGTCACCACTTGTTAATGCTTTTCCTGGGATGATCCGAAGTTATCTTAACCCGACAGACTGGTATTATTATGCCTTGTCCATATTTTGTCTGATTCAGGGTGAAAAGAACGAGGATTCCTTCTTGGTATTGCAAATTGCGGGTAGGGCCATACGATACAATCTTGTTCATAACACTTTCGAGAAGCTCCATGATTTTGAGGGTGCTGAGGTTGAAGATTCCTTAAGATTTTCATGGACAAATGGATTTCAACACATTGAGTCTCTCTGCTGTGTTTGAAGCTTGCTATAGTGTTGATTAATTAGTTTTTGTCTATATATATTGTTAATGAATTATTTAGCCTAATGACTGTTTGTAATTTCTGGGAAAACTTGAACTTTTTATTCTGAACTCGTTGCTTTTCAAATAATAATGAAGAAGTCTAAGGGGAGTCAATGATATTTTTTTTATTAATAACTTAAAGAAAAGTTCAATTAACAAATATTTTGGTACACATTCTTGAATAGTAGGCTTTTTCATTTAATGGCCAACTCAAAATATCAGCACTTTGTGACTATTTTCATAATTTAATTCAAGATATTTTGGATTTGAAATAAGATTTCACAGCCAGTATTCGAGTAAGCTTCAACTTTACTTGTATTTTTCTTTTTCTTTTTATTTATTTATTTAAATTTTGGTCGAACAAAATAGTGCGATAGGAAAACAAAGTGCTGTTGCAATATTTACTATTAAGTAAGAAATAACGAAGATAAAAAAGCAATAATATTTAATTTTGTTTCACAAAGAAAAAAATGCAGTGAACTGCTGCTTCCTCTGTTTTGTTTGCTAATTGTGGGCTTATTGGGCTTAAGTGGTTCTCCTAACTTAGTTGGGCCGGTTCATTACACATACCTAATGTTGCTTAGGTGTCACTCACCTACTGGTAGCTTAGGTGTGACCCAGATCGTGTGCTTGTTGAGGATTATTTGTGGCCCTTGATTTAGATCTACGGTTAGGGATTAATTCCTCTTTTGATATTTTATTTGGGCTTTGACTATTGGATCATTCTTCTTGTTCTCTCTTCGAAACTGAGGGTTCTTCTGCTCTCTGTCGACAGCCATACTCCTCCCCTTGCTTCACCCTAAATTGACCTTCGTAACCTATTCTTGAGGGAAATACCTGTATGATGCTCAGACCTGGAACATGGTTGAGTTATTCGGCTTATTCTACAGGGTTAGGTCAGATTTAGGGGTTCTTGGCCGCTTTGGTTGATTCTTTTGAATCAATGACCTTAGCCAAGTTATTGGAGACATTGATTGGTTCTAAACTCTCTCTAGAGGGCCTTTTTGCATAGCATGGAAGCTGTTCCTGAGCCTAGCATTCGGCCGAAATGAACCACCATAAAAGGGAAGTGAAGCTCTAAACTTTTATTCTTGTTTCTGTACATTTAATGTTCTGGCTTTCGGTTTCTATAGTTCATGTACATTCTGATGATTTCTGTATACTGGTTTGAGCTACTGAATGCTGTGATTATTTAGTAGTTTGGATTACATTATTGTTTGCTGGTTATGAGATTGGGTATCGAACTCTCATCAGTTAAAATTAGCCTTATGAATTCTGTTATGCTGTGAATTTGGTGTCTGCATTGCTGTAAATTCCTAACATATGGTATCAGAGCTAGATTTTTTGATCTAGGGTTTGACTGCATCCTTCATTTAATCTGTTGATTAGGGTTCATTGTTTTTGGGCATTATAGGGTTTCTAATTCGATACTGATTATTGGTTATTTTCCGTGTGTATGTTGGTGGCTAGATTGGGTGATTCTGGAAACTTGGATTGACTGAGAAACTGGTGGTATTTTTACTATTTTTCAACAGTAGTTTGGTAAGATTATTCCAAACTCTCCGATAGGTTAAGTTTGGTACTTTTACCATTTTATACACAATTGCTTGGTTACTAAATTCTTCTGATTAATTTGTAACTTGAAAAGCATATTTACTTGCATTGTATACATGTGTATTGCCTAAGTTTGAATCACACCAGCACACACATCACACTGAAGTTTAAGTGATCGAATTGATTCGGTGTTGTGTTTCATTTCTGGACATTGGCTTTAACTCTGCATTCATACTGTGTGTTGATCATCTGGAAAAGATTTTTTCAAAACCTTTTCTGTTGTGTCCATGAGTATAGTCCACCCTTTTACAGAATTTGGAATGAGTTCGAGGGTCGAATTATAACAATTCGATAGAAAGGGGGACTACTCGATTTCGAAACAGAAAATGAAGGCCATTTTGGTCCAACAGAGAGTTGCTAAAGCTCTCGATGATCCTTTGACTTTTTCTGACGAGTTAAAAGCTAAACCTGATGAAATAGAAGAAATGAATGAAATTGCATATAGTTGCATAATCTTGTATTTATCTGATAACACTGTTAGACAAGTTGATCATGCTAAATATGCTAGGACATTATGGACTGCCTTAGATGCTTTATTCTTGACTAAGACTTTGCCTAACAAGATCTATCTGTTAGAAAAATTGTTTAGTTTTAAGATGAACTCGAGGAAGGATGTAGAGGGGAATTTGAGCGATTATAGCATAATCGTTAAGAGTTTGCCTCATAATGATAAGAAGTTCGACGATGTCGATTTAGCTGTCATATTGTGAAATTCATTGCCCGAATCTTACAAAGAAATCAGAAATGCCATAAAATATGGTAGGAATACTCTTACACAGGCTATAGTGGTAGATACATTGAATTCGAGGGAACTAGAACTGAAAAGAGATAACAGAACTAATGTGAGAGAAGAAATACTATTTGTTAGGGGGAAAACTGAAAAGAAAGAATTTAGCTTCCATAACAAAAAGGGAAGGGGAAAGTCTAAAATGAGATCAAAATCTAAAGACAAAACTGGTAAGAAATGTTATAACTGTGGAAAGTTAGGATATTTTAAGAAAGATTGCTTTAACTAGAAGAAGAAACAGAGAGACTTGAATAACACTGATCAAAACAATGATGTCGTT